CCCCCCCCCCCCTCCCCGTCCCACCAAGCCCAAAACTTTCCGGTCTAGATAGGGTTAAAGGCTTATCCCGCCCTGCTTAACACCAGAAACCCCGATTTTGCACTTATACTGGCTTTTTTGCCGACATACTATTCTGTATTTTAGAACAAATAGCAGGCGAGGCTGAGAATCGGTGGAACGTGATCGCGTGTTGGTGACGCTGTCTATTTTTCATGGATGGATATGACAGCGATTTGGAGTCGTGAAAATATAAATAAGTAAAAGTATTATTGCATGAAACTTCATATGTTTGGAAATAACATGTCCACTTTTATCAAAATCAACAGAATCGTTTCTGTTGTTTGGTGACGTGGGAGGAATAGTTCAAATTGAAGTCCAGGATTGGTCAAAGTTCAGGGTGGTTTTATCTCCGACCCCATCGAGCTTGGACTACGACCCGATGACAGACTTTGTGTACTGGACAGTCTCTACAGAAATGAAACGGGTTCGTCGTGACGGAAGTGGGTTGGAGACCATGATTATAAAAGATGCAGCTTTCCGTGGGTGATATTCTCTCTTTCATGTCTTAATGTTACTGTTCATCGTTGTTCAGTATAACATACACGTACAATTTCAGTTGTACTATAGGGGCATTCCTTGGATAACCATGTCTTTGGTTAAACACATTCATGAGTTTACTATAATTGCAAGGTAAACCTACTTTTCCTATTGCCGTGGACGGCTTATAGCATCCATAATCAAGTTATGAACAAGATGTCTCTATTTGTCTAATAACCTATATAGATTATGTTAATGCTTTGAGTTTTTATGAACGCAATGTAAAATTCATTCATTCTTTATTTCAGGTAAAAACCCATATAACACATGTACAATACATCATTAAAATAATACAAAAAACTCTACAGACATACAAGTAAAACAGGAAGAAACCTACAAGCATAATGAATGGTAGGTCTTCCGAAAGAATGAATTCCTGTAGAAGGCATCGTAAAAATGCACAAGTGCCTTCTGTCCAATCGAATGCTCCTCCCACCACTTTGTTTTCATTACCTTACTGTAACTGACGATAATATCTTCACCTGTTTTGAAATGTAGCACATGGCATCGCTTTGGATCATGAGGGTGGGAATGTGTACTGGAGCAACATTGCACATACTATCTCAGTAGCCCGGAAGGACGGATCCTTCCCCAGGACACTTCTTGCACTACCAGGGACACGTTCAACCGACTTTCTTGATAATATTAAAGTCCTGGCCCTGGACCCCAGAAACGGGTAAACGGGAAATAAAACTGGTTTAGAAAATCCGCCCAAAAGCAGTTACTCAAGCAACTGGATATCATTTTGGAAACGGTCAGACGTTTCAGGTAGTATCCACTAGCTTTCGTCAGTGACTGAGAGGAGAAATGCAGGTTTATAAGCACAAACTAATGATTGATATGCAAATAAAGTGAAGACAAATTTTTGGGAGTTGTAAAGAGAACAAAAATCAGACAAGTCAAGACAAGATAATGCAAATTAGTCAAAACGCTCCTCTTATACAGAACAGGAGCTTAAGTGTTGTCTGTCCTCGGGGCTGGGAGTGCCAAATCCCAAGTGCCGGAGAGATCCACCCACTAGTCCCCCCTTACAGGAGGGAGGGGTTTTACATTCTTTTATATATTACCTCTTTAACACCCCGTTCCCACCAGCGTGTTTCGCGGTCTAAGATATCCATGGACTCGAGTTTGAAAGAGTAACCCAGGTTGTGTTGTAAGTGGTGGAAAATAGCTGAGGAGTAGCCGTTAGCACTAGGTATGCAATGTTCGCTGTACCTTACTTTAAGCGGTCGACTCGTCTCTCCGATGTAGGTGTTGTTACAACAGGCTTCTCACATTTGAGTCTGTAAATAACATTCGCCTTGGTACCCTTGTGAGGTCGGTCCTTAGGGTGTACCAGTCTTTGTCTGAGTGTTGAGTGAGGTTTGAAGTTTTTGGCTATGTTGAAGTTTTGGAAGATCCGTCGGAGTTTCTCAGATACTCCTTGGACATACGGAATAGTAATGTTGATTGATGCACAGTAGTCTTAGACAGGGAGCAGTAAAACAGGACGGTGTAGGACCTTTTTGGAGACAAAGACACCTACATGCCCTTGAAAAAGGACCCCACTAACAAGTTTAAAGGGAAAATCAGTAAAGCTCTAAAGAAATTGCAAACTGAAAGAGTTCTGGATCGCGCCACCTACCTAAAACTCAATCCCACAACGGAACAACCCCCTGCTTTCTACGGCCTTCTCAAAATCCACAAAGTGTCCCTCTACGACCCATAGTCTCCAGTATAGGCTCTGTCACCTACGAGTTAGCAGGTTTTCTAGCCAAGATTTTGGTATCACTAGTTGGGAAATCTCAGCATCATGTACAGAATAGTGCCGACTTTGCCAACAAAATCAAAGACATCC